GATTCTAAGCTCTGAATTTGATTCTAAGCTAAAGGCAGCAGAAATTCTCTTTAAAAGAGATTAAAAAGCCACATGTGTGCATAATAAGATCAGAGTTTACAGAACAATGGGGTTGGATGGGACCTTGGAGGTCTTCTAGTCCAACCCCCTGCCTATACCATTCTGGATAAATGGCTCTCCAGTCTCTTCTTAAAAACCTCCAGTGATGAAGCACCCACAACTTCTGGTGGCAAGCTGTTCCACTGGTTGATTGTCCTCACTGTCAGGAAGTTTCTCCTTAATTCCAGGTTGCTTCTCTCTTTGGCCAGTTTCCAGCCGTTGCTTCTTTGTTCTGCCTTCAGGTGCTTTGGAAAATAATTTGACACCCCCCCTCTTCTTTGTAACAGCCCCTCAAATACTAGCATACTGCTATCATGTCACTGCTAATCCTTCTTTTCTCTAGACTGGCCATATCCATTTCTTGCAACTGTTCTTCATATGTTTTAGTCTCCAGGCCCTTAATAATCTTAATTGCTCTTCTCTGTACTTTTTCCAAAGTCTCAACTTTGTGGTGACCAAAACTGGATACAGTATTCCAGGTGTGGTCTTACTCAGGTTTTATAAAGTGGTACTAACACTTCATGTGATCACCCAGATATAGTTCTATGCTACTTGAAACACACAAATTAAATTGTGTCGCATTTTACAGGCAAACTCATGCCCAGCCACACAGGCATTGCTCTACATTCAGGTGGGTTTATAACAATTTGGACCTTGTCAAGCTGTTAGTTCTAACACAACAGCGTGAAAAAAAAATAATCATATTAAAGTTGGGTAATTTCTCTTTGCAGGACTGAAAACTCAATTAATGGCTGGAGGGCATAGATTTAATCTGACAAGCTCCCTGGTTTTAATTCCATTAAGCAAGAGTCAGGAAAACTTGATTATTATTATTTTTTTCCTTCAAGATAATCGCATGAATATGATCAATCTAACACTCTCCACCAGCACAATTTACATTTGGTCTTCCAGGCGTCCATAGATGTCAATTTTCCACCTTTTCAATTGTGATTAGTGGTTGCATCCTTTCTGGAGACAAATCAGAATTCACTAAAGGATGAAGTTTCCATAACAACTTTGAGATGCAACCCATCAAGTCAGACGGTAAGAAGATAAACCAGTTACTTCTTCACACCAAGAGTCGGCTATTCCACACTTTTTAATAAGTGAGAAACCACACAGGGTGATCAGAACTGTGGGAAGTTTATTCATTTTAAGGCAATATGCTCACAAACGAAGGTTTATGAGGGCTTCTTGACTTCATGGCTAGAGGTATTCTTAACTTTGGCCCATCCTAAGCCCCCAAATTCCTCACAACGAAGCAGTATCTCAATAGTCCATAGCTCTAATTCGAAGGGTCCTTGATGCTGTCTGAGCTTGGCTGTTTTCTTGCAGACATTCCAACTAGGTAACAGAAGGAGAAAGTTCCACCTTCTAGCACTGATGATGTTACCTAGTTGGGTCATGAAATGTCTGCAAGAAAACGAACAAGCTCAGAGGTCACCACAGTTGTCCTCCTCCTCCTCTTCTTCCTCTTCCTCCACCTTCTCTCCTTCTTCTCTCTGCACACCCCACTCCCTTCTAGCACTGATGATGTTACCTAGTTGGGTCATGAAACGTCTGCAAGAAAATGAACAAGCTCAGAGGACACCACAGTTCTCCTCCTCCTCTTTTCCTTCTCTTCCTCCTCCTCCTCCTCTTCTTCCTCTTCCTCCACCTTCTCTCCTTCTTCTTTCTGCACACCCCACTCCCTTCTAGCACTGATGATGTTACCTAGTTGGGTCATGAAATGTCTGCAAGAAAATGAACAAGTTCAGAGGACACCACAGTTCTTCTCCTCCTCTTTTCCTCCTTCTTCTCCTCCTCCTCCTCCTCCACCGCCGCCTCCACCTCCTCTCCTTCTTCTCTCTGCACACCCCACTCCCTTCTAGCACTGATATTACCTAACTGGGTAATAAAACATCTGCAAGAAAATCACCAAGACAGCACCAAGAACCCCACAGACATTGCCCTTCTCCTCCTTCCCCCCTCTTCCTCTTCCACCTCCTTCTCCTTCTTTTATCCGCACATTCCCGTCCCTTCCAGCACTGATGATGTTGCCTAGTTGGGTCATGAAACGTCTGCAGGAAAACAACCAAGCTCAGAGAGCCCCAAGGACCCCACAATTCAATCTGAACTGCAAATCCTCTCTTTTATCCGTATCTTTGATTGCCCCAGATCTTGTTTGTGCTGATTTTCAACCTACTGCTGGTGTCCATGACCCAGAAATCTTTTGATGTGGCTTCTGAAGCCTTCCAAGAGAACTCTGCAGAAGGCAGGAGACCAGAAGAACGGAAGTCTCCATAGGGTCATGTTATGATGTGCACATGACCTCTTCCTGTCCTGGAATACACATTTATGGGATCCACGATTTCAGATTGTCACACCATCTTTGCTTATCTGCCTCTGGGGCAGCCAGGAGTGACAATATCTAAGCTACAAAGGAGACCATCTAAGTTGACCATCTTTCGGCCAACTTCTGCTTCACATTAAACGGGCCCCCTAGTGTTTATCTTATTGAAACATGGATAGTCCTTGATTTATGACCGATCATTTTTCTGGTGCATATTAAATGCCCGTAGTGTTCATCCTAATGAAATACGGATAGTCCTTGATTTACGACTGGTCGCTTTACTGGTTCACATTAAATGACTCTAGTGTTTATCCTAATAAAACACAGATAGTCCTTGAGTTATGATAAGTCCCTTTTCTGGTCCATATTAAATAACCTAGTATTCAACCTAATGAACTACAGGTAATCCTTGACTTATGTCCGGTCGCTTAGTAAACATTCAAAGTTACGACAGACCCCCAAAAAGGTACTTATGACTGGTTACAAAGTTACGATATCCAGTTCCCTGCCCGGTCATATGAATGCATTTGGGCCTTTGTAACTAGCCTACATTTACATCCTACAATCACGTGACCACAACTTATAACGGTTTTGCCCAAAACAGATATGGACTTTGGTTTCCAGCAAAATCACCCATAGCTAAATATGGTTTCGCTTAACGACCGTGCCATTTACTGAACAATCATGATCGCTGCATTCACTTAACAAAAAAATGGTAAAATTGCATCGGTTGCCCGATGATCTGCTTTACGACTGCCATGACTTACGACCGTTATTGTCAATGACAATCATAAGTTGAGGAATACCTGTAGAACTGTCACGGCTATCTGCCCCCCGACTTGAGGGGTATTTTTGATGCCATTGGTTTTGTGCGTTTGTAGCATTTAGCAACCCAAAACGTGACACACCAAGTCTTCATTGTTGAAACACTACACTACACTAACACACAAGGGAATGGTTAGCTGATGAGAGCTAAGTAGCTCGAAATAGCTATACCAGTCTCCCTTTAATTCTTTGTCGGTAAATTTAAATTTAGCACTACACATAAGCCATTCTTCACGCAACGACGATTTGCGAGATACGTCAAGGCGACTGTTGGGCGATGTTTTGTACCAAAGCACCTATAGAGAGCAATAATACAGCAGAGGCCTATGGAAAGCAATTATACCCCCATTTGGGTGCGGATGGGCGAGGAATATTTAACAAGGCAATGGTGAGCACCTCCACGTAGTTAAAACACAACGCCAAAACGGTCCGAACACAACCAGATTGTCTACGTATAACCGAGGCTACATGTTAGGAGGGTTGAGCAAAGCATACAGGTAGTCCTCGGCTTACAACTATTCGAAGTTCGAAGTTACGACGGCACTCAAAAAAGCGACTGAGCGTTTTTCACACCGTTGCAGCATCCATTGCAGGCACGTGATCAAAACTGGGACGCTTGGCGGTTGACTCATATGTATGACGGTTGCGGTGTCCCTTTTGCGACCTTCCCTCAAGCAAAGTCAATGGGGAAGCCAGATTCACTTAGCAACCGTGTCACTATCTTAATTGTATCCGTTCACTTAACAGCTGTGGGAAGAAAGGTCGTAAAATGAGGCAAAACTCATTCAACAATTGGCTGGCTTAGCAACAGAAATTTTAGACATAATTGTGGTCGTAAGTCGAGGACTACCTGTATTTTCAAACTCTTACCAATAAATGTTGACTTCTCATTACAGGTAGTCCTCGGGTTATGACCACAGTCGGCACCAGAATTTTCTTTAATAAGCAAGGTGTTTTTTAAGTTTTTATCTGATTTTATTACCTTTTTTTTTTTTACCACAAATGTTAGGCAAATCATTCCAGCTGTTAAGTGAGTCATTAAATGAATCAGGCTTCCCCCATTGACTTTGCTGGTTGGAATCCAGCGGGGAAGTCTGCAAATGGTGATCAGGTGACCTCAAAACCCTGCATCCCTCCTAAATACACCGGATTTTAATCACGTGACCGTAACGGTCGTAAGTGCGAGGACCTTCTTCACGGCTGCTGTAAATTCCAACCATCGTTAAACGACTGGTTGTAAATTGAGAGGCCCTGTAGTCACTCTACGTTGCACCACAGAGCGACACGCTCCTCAGAAGAATGTGAGGGGAGTAGAGTTGTGTGCACCCTGCACAATATTTAACATATCACAACATCGAAAATGGGGTGAGGTGATTCCGCTGTGAATGATAGCTGCAGCCTTGAAGAAACAATGAGGAATCTCTGAGCTTGGAGTTCGATCTGGGTGAAGCTTTGTACGTTCGCAGACACCCCCCCCTCGCCTTTGCCCCCCAAAATCAGGGTCTGCTATTCACACATTCTATTCACACAATCAATGTTGGTCAATGTTAGCTGCTTGAAGAAGTGTGATCTTTAGCTCCCAGAATTCCCCTGCTGGCTTGTGTGGACTTCAACTGCCAGAATTCCTCAGCCAGCCTGCGTGGACTTCAACTGCCAGAATTCCTCAGCCAGCCTTGCTGGCTGAGGAATTCTGGGAATTGAAGTCCGCCCATCTTCAAGCAGAATTCAGAATCGCTGATCTCAATTAATTCTTAACCACCGAGGTTGCCACTTTGATTCCTGAACTTGAGGGCATCACCCATTTTGGCTTCTTCCTCCAAGAAGGCATCATAAATTCATAATTGTGGCCTTGCCATTTCCGGCAAATTTCTGTTTGTACCTTGAAAAAGAAAAACAACACCTGCCATTACTGGAAAAATCATCATTTTTTTTTTTTTTTGCATTTATTCTTTTTGACTTATGACCGCAATTGAGCCCAAAATTTATTTTGTTAAACGAGGCAATTGCTAAGTGAATTTTGCCCCATTTTACAACCTGTCTTGCCACAGTTGTTAAATGAATCACTGCAGTTGTTAAGTTAGTAACACGGTTGTCAAAAGAATCTGGCTTCCTCATTGGCTTTGCTTGCCAGAAGGTCACAAAAGGGGATCACGTGACCCCGGGACGCTGCGACTGTCATAAATACAAGTCAGTTGTCAAGCAACTGAATTTTGATCACATATGTGGAGAATGGGGTGGTGGTCATAAGTGTGAGGATTGGTCATAATTATCTTTTTTTCAGTGCTGGCCACTAATCGAATGGTTGATATAATTAAAAATAGGTACCAAAGTTAATAATGAAATACAAGAAGTCCTTGACTTATAGCAGTTCATTTGGTAACCAGCACTGAAAAAAGTGACTTATGACCATTTTTCACATTTACGTCCATTGTAGCATCCCCATGATCAGGTGATCAGAATTTGGACATTTGGCAACGGACTCATATTTATGACGGTTGCCGGGTCACCTAATCCCCTTTTGAGACTTTCTGTCAAGCAGTCAACGGGGAAGGCAGATTCACTTAACAACCGTGTGACTAACTTAACAACGGCAGTGATTCACTTAGCAACGGTGACAAGAATGGTCGTTAAATGGGGCAAAACTCAATTAACATCTTTCTGGCACAGCAAGGGAAATTTTGGAGTCAGATGTGGTCCTAAGTTGAGGACTTTCTGTATTATTTACTAACTGTATATGCCGCCCAAATCACTCTGGAGTTTATAATAGTTTTTTTTCCATGGATCTGCATTTTCTTAAACCTCTCCCACTGCGGTTTTGGTTCAGCCTTCCTCAAGACAGATTGATTGATGCGTTATGTGTTCAGAAGTCGTTTTCGACTCCTAGCAACCACATAAATAGATTTTGTGCATGACAACATCGTTTGAGAGCTACCAAACTTGCCTCATCCATCCAACTCAAGTTCCGGAAAGACGCACTCAAAACATTGAAAAAAAGCAATATTTCTCAACCTTGGCAACTTTAAGATATGTGGACTTCAACTCCCAGAATTCCCCAGCCGGCATGTGTGGACTGTGACTCCCAGAATTCCCTAACCAGCATGTGTGGACTTTGACTGACAGCATGGCTGGCTGGGGAATTCTGGAAATTGAAGTCCACACATCTTAAAGTTGTGACTGAGCAACATTGTTTTCTCCTTCTATTTTGAGTGCCATTTTAAAAAGACAATTTAAAAAAATTAAAGACAATCTAATTCACCCTGAATTCACCAAGTTGTTCCAGGCCTTGATCTCTCCAGAGGGTATTAAACCTCCGAGGGGTATGTTGGCCTGGGAAAAAGACATCATGGCTTCTCTTTTGCAGCCACAGAGATCTCGACAACTATTAAGTTCCTTACCTCTTGATTCAGAAAACAGTATAAAATGGCAACGATGAAACCCTAAATAGGAAAGAAAATTAGTAGATTAGTAGAAGTTAGTAGATTTCACTCCCCATGTGTAAAGATATATAGGTAGTCCTCAATTTATGACCGTAACTGAGCCCAAAATTTCCATTGCTAAGCAAGACAGTCACTAAGTGAACTTTACAACAGTTTACGACCTTTCTTGCCACGGTTGTTAAGTGAATCACTGCAGTTATTATGTTAGTAACATGGTTGTTAAGTGAATCTGGCTTCCCCATTGACTTTGCTTGTCAGAAGGTCGCAAAAGGGAACCACGTGACTACAAGACACTGTGAACGTCATAAATACGAGTCAGTTGCCAAGCATTCAAATTTTGATTGCGTGACCACGGGAATGCTGCAACGGTTGTAAGTATGAAAAACGGTCATAAGTCACTTCTTTCAGTCACTAAATGAACGATTGTACGTCGTTTGTAATACAAACGCAAATGAATATTTTAGTTCCTTCTTTCTAGCAATGCTATTTATGATTTGTTCAGGTAATCCATGACTTACAATCACTCATATACAGTGGTGGGATTCAGCCAGTTGTCACCAGTTCGGCAGAACCGGTAGCTAATTTTTTGTTGCCCAGACCCAGAATGGACTTCCGGAAGTGGCATCCACACAGAGAGCCGGTTGTTCACCTATTTGAAACCCACCACTGCTCATATAGTGACCAGTCAAAGTTGCAACAGCACTGAAAATAAGTTTTCACCAATACAGCATTCCCACGGTCATGTGATCAAAATTTGGGCACTTGACACATGGCATATATTTACGAAAACCGCACTGTCACGTGATCCCCATTTGTAACCCTCGCAGGCAGCTTTCAAGAAGCAAAGTCAATGAACACATAATAATAATAATAATAATAATAATAATAATAATAATAATAATAATAATAATAATAATAATAATAATAATAATAATAATAATAATAATAATAATAAAGTTGGAAGGGACCTTGGAGGTTATCTAGTCCAACCCCCTGCTCAGGCAGGTAGCCCTATACCATTTTGGACAAATGGCTGTCCAGTCTCTTCTTAAAAACATCCAGTGTTGGAGCATTCACCACTTCTGGAGGCAGGTTGTTCCACTGGTTAATTGTTCTCACTTAGTTCTAGGTTGCTTCTCTCCTTGATTAGTTTCCATCCGTTGCTCCTTGTCCTGCCTTCAGGCGCTTTGGAAATTAGCTTGACTCCCTCTTCTTCAATTTAACCTCACAACAACAAAAAAACTCTCAGAAAAAAAGAGTGATCAAATAAAGCAGACAACTGAACATAACCCAGAGGAAAGAGATTTAAAGATGGAACCCAACAATGGAAGGAATTTTGACTTAACCCAGGTGGAGAAAAACTTGCAGGAAATATCGGACATGGAAAAGATAACCTACACTTCAAGACTGCAAAATAAGTCTGAGGACAAGGAAAAAGATTTCACAAAATGGATTATAGAGCTGTCAGGAGAACTACGAGAACTTGAAAGACAAAAAATGCTAAGAGAAATTAAAAGAGAAAGAAAGAAAAAGATTTTCAATGAATACGAAGGGGCGAAACATTCCTACAAAAACAGCATACTTGACTTGTCTCTTGTACCTACAACAACATCTACAAGACTATGGGAAGACCTTCTGGTCCAGCAGAGCCTACTGATCAAGAAAGATGTTTGGCAAAAAAAAAAAAAAAAAGGCTAAAGTTAGAATCAAGAAATTAGATGATGGGATTTATCAGATGGAATATCTAAAGATTAAACACTGTTTGAATATAGTTAAAGAAACAGAAAAATTCTGGATATAAATGAATTTTAGTTTAAGAGGGATGGGCCCCTCAAGTAACATAGTATTTTTTTTATGATATGAGAAATATAAAAATGATGGGATGGTTTATATGAGGGAAATGTTTTAGATACTTAAGTGTAATTGATTTTGAGAAAATTTCAATTGATAAGAATGTTTTGAATCGATTTAAAAGATTAGATGATTGGATTTATTAGATGGAATATTTAAAGATTAAACATTTGTTTGAATAGAGTTAAGAAGAATAGAAAATTTTTGGATATAAATGTATTTTAGGTTAAGAGGGACATGTTTCTCAAGTAATATGCTATTTTCTTTTCTTTTTTTTCTTCTCTTTTTTTGTTCTGGTTTTAGGATATGAGAAATGTAAAATTGTTGGGATGGCTCGTATGAGGGAAAAGATTTAAATACTTAAGTGTAATTAGCTCTGAGGAAATCTTAACTGGTAAGAATTTTTTGAACGTTGCGAGGGAAACAAATCTAAATAAGAACTCTGAAAACAGGATTTATGACAAGGTAATTAAGATGATCAATTAGAAAAGAAGCTTTATATTGATGTGGTTGTTACTTGTAATATAAGCCCAGACAACACACTGTTTACCAAATATTAAGGTGATTATGTTAAAAACTTAATAAAATATATTTTAAAAAAAGAAGCAAAGTAATGGGGAAAACCAGGTTCACTTAGTGACCACATGACTCGCTTAGTGACCACATGACTCGCTTAATAACTGCAGTGATTCACTTAACAACTGAGGCAAGAAAAGTTGTAAAATTGGGGCAAAACTCACTTAACTGCCTTGCTTAACAACAGGTTAATTTTTGGTTAACAATTGTACTACTAACTTTATCACTGTTGTGATTCACTTAACAACTGTGGCAAGAAAGGTTGTAAAGTGGGGTAAAACCCAGTTAGCAACTGTCTCCCTTAGAAATGGAAATTTTGGCTTAATTTTGCTCGTAAGTTGAGGCCTACTCGTGCCTCGCAGGGCCAAGAAGTCTCCCCCACTCTTTTTTAAAAGCATCCCCATAACAATATTGTTGTTGTTTTTTAGCAAGATGGCCCCCATCCCGCCATACTTCACCTGGAATGATCCAATGCACAGCTCCAAGAAGAGACGGGCTCCCACCTGGGTGTTTTCGGGCAGGAAGTTGAAGATGATGTAATGAGTCCCAAACAAGGGTATGAGGAGCAGGGTTGACTTAGAGAGGCGTCTAAGGAAGGGGTTGCGGGACGAGGGTGAGGAGAAAGGTGGAGGGAAGAAAAAGCAAAATTTACAGAACTAAAGGAAATATAAGTAGCAACGGCCACTAGAGGGCACTCATGCTGTCTGATGGAGAGGGCATAGTCTTCTCTATGGGACCATCCTGCATATTTGTCTTCATTCGTTAAAGCCATGTGCTTTCTTTCTTTCTTTCTTTCTTTCTTTCTTTCTTTTTCTTTCTTTCTTTCTTTCTTTTTTCTGTTTTGTTTCCTACCTCCTCCCTTTCTTAATTTCTCCTCCCTTCCATTCATTCTTCCTTCCTTTCTTTTTCCTTCCTCCCTCCCTCCCACTGTCTTCCTTCCTTCCTTCCTTCCCTTCCTTCCTTCCTTCCTTCCTTTGTGCCTGCTTGCCTTTCTTCCCTCCTTCCCTTTCTTCCGTTCTTCCTTTCTGTCTTCCTGTTTTCCTTTCATCCTTTCTTGCTTTTTCCTCCCTCCCTCCCCTTTTCTTTTTCTTTGTTTGTTTCTTTGTTTGTTTCTTTGTTTGTTTTTCTTCTTCCTTCTTCCTTCCTCTTTCTTTTTTCTGTTTTGTTTCCTACCTCCTCTTCCTTCCTTCCTTCCTTCCTTCCTTCCTTCCTTCCTTCCTTCCTTCCTTCCTTCCTTCCTTCCCTCCCTCCCTCCCTCCCTCTTTCTTTCCTTCCTTCCTTCCTTCCTTCCTTCCTTCCTTCCCTTCCTTCCTTCCTTCCTTCCTTCCTTCCTTTCTCCCTCCCTCCCTCCCTCCCTCCGTCCCTCTCTCCCTTCCTAAACCTTCACCCAAACTTTGGATGGTAATGCCAAGAACATTTCTCTATCATCTCTTCTATTCATCATTTTTTTATTGATTTATCCGTATTGTGCATTGAAAATTCCCGATTGGGAGGGGAAGCTCTATAATAGAGAATGTTCCAAACTCTACAATTCAAAGAAAAACATGCACAGTAACATCAAATGAAATGGAAAATGGAAGCATAAGCACGTTCAGTTTTCTTCCAAATTTTCCTGTTCAAGAACAGATTTTGAGTGTGTGTGGGGGGGAGACAAAGAATTCTCCAACCTACTTTACAGCCCCTTCTCCATTGTCTTACCTGTACTGAAATGAGCTGTTCAAATTGATTTTTCTGGGATTCAGTTTTTTCAGCAGGATTTGGATAATATTGATGAAAAGAATGAAATTGACCTGTGGAAGGAAGAGAAAAAGAGAATGTATTGTTTGCCAAAAAAAAAAAAAAAAAGAGATGAAGCTGTGTTGGCAACTTTAAGAAATGTGACTTCAACTCCCAGGCTGGCTGGGGAATTCTACGGCTTGAAGTCAACATTAAGATGTGTGGACTTGTGAGATAGATTGAAATAATAGTGACTACTGCAGGGATCTTCAAAGCTGGCCACTTTAAGACTTGTGGACTTCAACTCCCAGAATTCCTCAGCCAGCCCTGGCTGGCTGAGGAATTCTGGGAGTTGAAGTCCACGAGTCTTAAAGTGGCCAACTTTGAAAACCCCTGGACTAATGCAATGTTTCTCAACCTTGGCTACTTTAAGATGGGTGGGCTTCAACTCCCAGGATTCCTCAGCCAGCTTGGGATTGTGGGAATTGAATGATGGGTAATGAAATGCCTGAAAGAAGACAACCAAGCTGAGAGAGCACCACATCTACCTCTCTTAAGCATGGAACCCTGGGAGTTGAAGTCCACATAAGAAGCTTGGAACCCTGGGAGTTGAAGTCCAACTATCCTAAGCATGGAATATTGGGACCTGAAGTCCACATATCTTAAACAGAGAATCCTGGGATTTGGAGTCCGCATAAGCAGGGAATCTTGGGAGTTGGAGTCCACATAAGCAGGGAATCCTGAGAGTTGAAGTCCACACATCTTAAAGCAACTAAGGTTGCAAAAACCTGGGCTAATGGATTGTTCTCAAACTGAATTTTCTTTCCCATTTTCCCTTTATTGTGGTCGTTTCAATCCTTGAATTATTTGTCATTAGATATTTGTCAATAGGCAACACTCACCCTGGGAATATCCCCAAATATCTGCTCGGCTCAACCCAGCAAATATGAGCTTTTTCTCTGCTCTGCATGTATGTATTTACAAGCTGTTCTCGACTTATGACCACCATTGGGACCAGGATTTCTGTTGCTGAGCGAAAGGGTTGTAAAGTGAGTCAAGTCCAATTTTATGACCATTTTTTTGCCACGGGGAATAAGCCAACTGCTGCAGTTGTTAAGTGATTCGCACAGTCGTTAAGGGAATCAGGTTTCGCCCACTGACTTTGTTTGGAAGCTAGCTGTGATCATGTGACCCCAGGATGCTGCAGCCGTGATAAACACATGCCAGATTCCAAGCACCTGAATTTTGATCACATCAACATGGAGATGCTGTGATGGTTGTAAGTGTGAGGACTGGCCGTAAGTCACTTTGTTCTGCGCTTTTGTAACTTCGATCGGTCACTAAACAAATGGGCTGCCTGTACTGAATTTATAGGCTACCCCACATCTGCCACAATTCTGAGTAACTTAGAAATTAAATTGCTTCATTCTATTCTCCCAGGCAGAGGGCTACGACTCCATTGTTAGGGCGGCCATCTTGACTTTTTCACCCACCTCCCGTCTCCCTCAGGAACTCCTTCTGAATCCTTTCTTTTCCCCCTTTCCGCTTAGGTCCTAACCTCAAAACCAGAATAACAAGCACAAGAATTGTCATTTTGGACTGAACCCAACCCTTGCCCATATCAGGAAAGTCCAAGGAGGTCAGAAAATTCAAGATGGTGGCCACAACCACCATCTTATAAGTATAGAATCAGGGTTATAATTATATACTATATACCATAAGTGTATAATCAGGGTTATAATTATATAATATGTAAGTATATAATCAGGGTTATATAACATATAAGGGTATAATCAGGGTTATAATTATATAACATATAAGTGAATAATCAAGGTTATAATTATATAATATATGTGTATTATCAGGGTTATAATTATATAATATATAAGTATATAATCAGGGTTATTATATAATATATAAGTATATAATCAGGGTTATATAACATATAAGTGTATAATCAGGGTTACAATTATATAACATATAAGTGTATAATCAGGGTTATAATTATATAACATATAAGTGTATAATTAGGGTTATAATTATATAATATATAAGTATATAATCAGGGTTATTATATAATATATAAGTATATAATCAGGGTTATATAACATATAAGTGTATAATTAGGGTTATAATTATATAATATAAGTGTATAATCAGGGTTATAATTATATAACATATAAGTGTATAATTAGGGTTATAATTATATAATATATAAGTCACTTATATATTATATAATTATAACCCTAATTATACACTTATAATAAGTGTATAATCAGGGTTATAATTATATAATATACGTGTATAATTAGGGTTATAATTACATAATATATAAGTATATAACCAGGATTATAATTATATAATTAAATAATTATAAAAAATAACCCCCTCCCTCAAAAAGGGAGGGGGTCCGATGACGAGGTGGTGGCCGCCATCTTGACTTTTCTGACCTTTCTTCACAGAATCCTGGGCCATCACCACCAAAGGCTCCTTGCTCAGATCTATTGGCAGCAAAACCAGTTGCAATTCCCACCACTGATATAAAGCAAACTGGAAACCAGATACAGACCCCAACAGAGAGCATGATGGGGCCCTGGATGACCCACCAGTAAGGGGAACCTTGATTCGTGTCCCAGCACCTGGAGAGAGAGAGAGAGAGAGAGAGAGAGAGAGAGAGAGAGAGAGAGAGAGAGAGAGAGAGAGAGAGAGAGAGAGAGAGAGAGCCATGATGGTTAATGCTTATAAACAGATATTTTTTTATATTTCCTCCCTTTCTCTCGGGTTTCTTTCTGGACTGCAGTTTTTCTGAGTATGTCCGCCTGGAGAGAGGAACTGCCGTTCATGTTCACACAAGTTTGAAGGCATTTTGTGGAACATTAGTGTAACAAGCAGAGCATTGTCACAATCTGATTATTGTGATTACTACTCTGAGGTGATTAACTAGATCTGACCTAGAACTAAGGAGAAATTTCCTGACAGTGAGAACAATTAACCAGTGGAACAGCTTGCCTCCAGAAGTTGCGGATGCTCCATCCCTGGAGGTTTTAAAGAAGAGACTGGACAGCCATTTGTCTGAAATGGCAGAGGGTCTCCAGCTTGAGCAGGGGGTTGGACTAGATGACCTCCCGGGTCCCTTCCAGCTCTGTTATTCTGATATTTTATCCCACATATGATTTTATTGAATAAAAACTTTGTGAAGCCCTTGGAAAGAAGATGTGAATTTTGTTAAATTGGAACTGCCTGGGCTTTGAATGGCTAGCGATGCTCACCAATTTAGGTTTTGAGGAGTCCCACCCGCCCAACTTCAAAAGTGACAAAATGTAGAGCTTCATTCTGTGGGGTGATAAATTAATTTGTACCATGAACTTCTATGCAGATCTTTAGTTTGACTCAGGAATTAGAATTGTCTAATTCCAGCATTGATAATTTGGGATTCTTTTGAGTCAAATCTGACAAATCAGATAGTAGTAGTAGTAGTAGTAGTCGTCTTCTTCTTCTTCTTCTTCTTCTTCTTCTTCTTCTTCTTCTTCTTCTTCTTCTTCTTCTTCTTCTTCTTCTTCTTCTTCTTCTTCTTCTTCTTCTTCTTCTTCTTCTTCTTCCTTCCTTCCTTCCTTCCTTCTTCCTTCTTTCTTCTTTCTTTCTTCTTCTTCTTCCTCTTTCTCTCTCTCTCTTTCTCTTTCTCTCTCTTTTCTCTTTTTCTCTCTCTCTATCTCTTTCTCTCTTTCTCTCTCTCTCTCTTCCTCCTCTCTCTTTCTCTCTCTTTTTCTCTCTTTCTCTTTCTTTCTCTCTCTCTCTTTCAGTGTTGTTGTAATTTCAAACAGTCACTGTTGTAAGTATACCTGTAATGGGGTGCCTTGACACCCCTTCAATTTTGGCCAGTATCCTGTCAGCCTTAACTTAAAGCCACCCCTGACTTAGACACCAAATCCAGATGTTTCCCTGCCCAAACCGTCCCCCACACACACACACACATACATTGCAGCAATGTGAGAAATAAGCTCTGACTTACAAATCATTTTCAAAATGCAGTTTGAGTACTGCCCATAACATGGTGAAGAATGTCGGGACACCTTGAGAAATCAGAGAAGAGAAAAGAGAATTTGTGAATGCATTCAATTCTGCTCACAGCTGGCTGGCCAGCTGCCCTCCTGGGGATTCACACAGCAATTCTAAATTTTCAGCGGGAAACAAGGAGAAAAAAATAATAATAAACCGAAACCCTACATTTTGACTTTTGCAAATTTGTCTCCAGAACTAGCTAGAGCCCAGAATTCAATTAGTTTATCAAACAGGGATGGTTTTGTACAAAATACAGGTAATCTCCGACTTACAATTATTCATTTAGTGACTGTTTTAAGTTATGACGGCACTGAAAAAAGGAACTTATGGCCATTTTTTACAGGACCGTGTCCCAGGGTCATGTGATCAAAATTCAGAGGCTCAGCAACTGGCATGTACTTATGACAGTTGCAGTGTCCCGTGGTCACGTGATCCCCTTTTGGGAACTTCTGACAAGCAAAGTCAATGGGGAAGCCAGATTCCCTAACCGAACAACTGCAGTGATTCATTTAATAACTGGGGCAAGAAAGGTTGGGGTAAAACTCACTTAACAACCGACTCGTTTAGCAACAGAAAGTTTGGGCTCAGTTGTGAGCATAAGTCGAGGACTGGTTTTATCATAATTTTCATTGAGATTTCTCTAACTTTCTCTATCCCTTCCTCCCTCCCTCCCTCCCTCCCTCTTTCTATCTTTTCTATGTTTTTTTTCTTTCTTTCTTTCTTTCTTTCTTTCTTTCTTTCTTTCTTTCTTTCTTTCTGTCTTTCTTTCTTTCTTTCTTTCTTTCTTTTCTTAACTGCCCATCTTCCTTGTAGACTGTTAACTTGTTTATCTAAGTTCCTTGATAGGGGTATTTTTTACTTCTTGATTGTTGATTTAGTGTTAATCTTGGTGTTAAACTCAAATGAGTGTTGATTGCTAGTGAGGAGATGTTTTGGTCTTTTTGGTTCCTTTTGGGCTTTTTTTGATTGTTTCTTTTGAATGGTGTGTACACCATTGTTTATGTCTCTGTGCCTGTCGATAGCCGATTTGTCTGATTGCCAAGTTTCCAGGAATTCTCTCACAGTTTTGGAATTGGTCTAGGATATTCACAGTTTCCCAGTTGAAACTATGGACCAGTTTGTCCGTGTGTTGTGAAATTAAGGACTTTTCATCCTGACTTCTGAACAATTTCTTTAATCCGGCTACTTACTAGCAAAATGATAGTTTCTGATTCGGCCTAAAAAATGCATTGACCAATAATTGGGGAAATTAATGTTATTAAAACATTAGTCCAACCTCCCTGAGCAGGGGGTTGGACTAGATGACCTCCAAGGTCCCTTCCAACTTTATCATCATCATCATCATCATCATCATCATCATCATCATCATCATCATCATCATCATCATCATCATCATTATTATTATTATTATTATTATTATTATTATTATTATTATTATTATTATTAAAAGGCCTAGAGTCTTAGGAGGACACACAATTCTTCTCCTAGCCTTTTGTTGCTTATATTATGATTGCTCACATAGTCAGCCAGATATTTATTATTTATTATTATGATTTGCTGCACAGTCAGCCAGATGTTTAGACTAGATTTGGCCTTTTAGTTCTTCCCAAGGACCTGAGATAGGCAGATGTTGAGGTTTGATGGTGTTAAAGGTCTTGTTGCAGGAAATGGAGCAACCTTGTGCAATTGACCCGTTGTGATTTTGTCAATGCCGATGGTGTTCCAATGGTGTGCCAGATGTTTTCGGACCCAAGGCACCTATTACTACTATTGGTGCTATCTTTGCTTTCTTTTGCCACAGTCATTCTACTTCTATTTGCAGGTCTTTGTACAGTATTTTGCGATTTTTCCCCAATTCCTTTCTCTTCTACAGGTGGTCCTCAACTTAGGACCGCAATTGAGCCCAAAATTTCTGTTGCTAAGTGAGCTTTGCCGCATTTTGTGACCTTTCTCACTCCAGTTATTAAGTGAATCTCTTCAGTTAGTTCACACGGTTGATAAGTGAATCTTGGACGCCATATTGACTTTGCTCGTCAGAACATCACAAAAGGGGATCACGTGACTCTGGGACACTGCAACGGTCATAAGTACATGCCAGTTTCCAAGCCTCTGAATTTTGATCACGTGACCAAGGGCATGCTGCAACGGCCGTTAAGTATGAAAAACGGTCATAAGTCACTTTTTTTCAATACCTAAATGATTGATTGTAAGTCGAGGCCTACCCGTAACACAAATCTCTTTTCTCTGTGCCATTTTAACTTCGGTCACTAAATGAACCGTTGTAAGTTGAGGACAACCTGCATTCTGCTGTCTCTAGGGACTGCAGTGTCTACTATTATTACAACTATGGTTTGCATTACAACTTTTCTTCTTGGCTTTCTTCCGACAAGCAAAGTCAATAGGAGAATCCCGATTCACTTAACAACCATGTGATTCACTTAATGACTGCAGTGATTCACTGAACCAGTCTCTCTTTGTTTCATCTGTTCCATTTAATTCCTTTCTATCCAAGGTTTCAAACCGAATCAATACTTTAAACCAGTTTGCCTGTCCTCTCTCAAACCTGCATGTTCTTTCCCTGAATACAGTGCTGACTCATACTTATGACGGTCTCAGTGTCCCCAGGGTCACATGGTCCCCTTTTGCGACCTTCTGACAAGTGAAGTCAATGGGGGAAGCCGGATTCACTTAACAACCGGGGTTATTAACTTATCAGCTGCAGTGATTCGTTTAACAACCGCGGCAGGAAAGGTGGTAAAATGGAGCAAAATAAATGTCTCACTTAACCACAGAAATTGTGGTCGCAAGTCAAGGATTACCTGTACAAGTGGTCCTCGACTTACAACCATTTGTTTAGCAGCCATTTGAAGTTGCAGTGGCACTGAAAAAAGCGACTTAGGACTAGTTCTTGCACTTACGACCATCACAGCATCACGGTGGTCATGTGATCACCCTTTATGCCCTTCCCAGCTAGGTTCTGACAAGCAAAGTCAATAGAGTTTCACTTAACAACCACGTGATTCACTTAACAAATGTGGCAAAAAAGATCAGAAAATCGGCTGTGCTTCCCTTAATAACTACCCTGCTCAGCAATAGAAATTCTGTTCCCTATTGGGGTCATAAGTTGAGGATTACAGCTGTACCCAAACGTGTGTGAGAATCTGCACTTATTTTCTACAAGCTCTCCTTTTTTTAAAATAATAATAATAATAATAATAATAATAATAATAATAATAATAATAATAATAATAATAATAATAATAAGTAGTAGTAGTAGTAGTAGTAGTAGTAGTAGTAGTAGTAGTAGTAGTAGTAGTAGTAGTAGTAGTAGTAGTAGTAGTAGTAGTAGTTCAGGCTAAGCAGAAGCAGGTTAAATGAATCTGCGCTTGGAAAAAATGGGGAACATTTTAAAAACAGATTTTTCTTTTCCTGAGACTCCACAAGGTGATGCAAAAGTATGGATTTTATATGCTGAAGCCCAGCTGGAGAAAACTCTTTCCACCCATGAGTGAAAATGGCTCTGAGCATCCCTTCTGCCCCCTTGGTTGAATGGCTGAAGGATTTGGGGGTAAAGAGAGATAATTCTAGACCAGGGTTAGGCCACCTTGGCTCTTTTATGACTCGTGGACTTCAACTCCCAGAATTCCTGAGCTAGCATGGCTCAGCTTGGAAACCTCTCCCTTTCCCCTCAGCGTGGCTGGCTCAGGAATTCTGGGAGTTGAAGTCCACGAGTCATAAAAGAGCCAAGGTGGCCTACCCCTGTTCTAGATGCATCATGTTGAGTTTGTTTGTTTATTAATGTGCATCCCCTGCCTTTGTTATTTTTACAAACAACTCAAGGTGCCTAACATGTCCTTCCTCCACCTATCTTCTCCACGATCACAACCCTGTGAGGTGGGTTGGGCTGAGAAAAAGGAACTGACCCAATTGGCTTTTTTAAGGTGGGACTAGAACTCACTATCTCCTGATGATTGGCCCAAAGTCATGTAGCTGGCTTTCATGCCTAAGGCAGAACTAGGACTCCCAGTCTCCTGGTGATTGGTCCAAAGTCACCCAGTTGGCTTTCATGCCATAGGCAGATTAGAACTCAGTCTCTGGGTGATTGGTCCAAAGTCCAAGTCTCCTGGTGATTGGTCCAAAGTCACCCAGTTGGCTTTCATGCCATAGGCAGATTAGAATTCAGTCTCTGGGTGATTGGTCCAAAGTCACCCAGTTGGCTTTCATGCCTAAGGCAGAACTAGGACTCCCAGTCTCCTGGTGACTGGTCCAAAGTCACCCAGTTGGCTTTCATGCCATAGGCAGGACTAGAATTTCCAGTCTTCTGGTGATTGATTCAAAGTCACCCAGCTGGCTTTGATGCCTGGAGTGAGACTACAACTCACCATCTCCTGGTGACTGGCCCAAAGTCACCCAACTAGCTTTTCTGCTAAGATAGAACTAGAACTCACAGTCTCCCGCTTTCTAGCCTAGTTCCTTACTGGTTCTCTGCATCCTGCTGATGACATCCCTTTATTGATGGTGATTTAACCGCATCTCTTTTAAACAAGTAAGGAAGAAGGCAGGTCAAGAAGTCAGCTTGACTTACCCCATCCGAAGAGGACAAGCCACCAGTAGTATTTCCTTCCATGGGGAAAGGAAGAAAGAAGCAGCCAGTTGAGGTAGAGAGCTTCTGCTAACAGCCACATGAAGTTGGCCATGGTGAAGTAGTGAACGAGCACCATGGAGATCTTGCATCCAGCCTGTGGAAGAAGCAAGGAGATTATTTTTTTTTAATAATAATAATATAAACCTAAATATAGGGCGGGAAGAGGAGCGCCTGAGTCCCGCCGACTGTTAGTTAATTTTATGTATTTATTGTTAATGTTTAAATTTTAATTAATTTTCTTTATAAACTTGTAACAGGTTAATTTTATATTAATTTTGGGGAGATTTTTAATGGGATCCGGTCAGGACGTTCGACTTATAACCATGTCTTAAGGGCGCGGCGGAAGGAAGGGAGATCAGGGATCACCCTGATCTCTGGGGGCAGTTCATTCCAGAGGGTGGGAGCTCCCACAGAGAAGGCCCTCCCCTTTGGGGTCGCCAGCCGGCACTGTCTGGCCGACGGCACCCTGAGGAGACCCACTCTGTGGGAGCGTACAGGTCGATGGGAGGTAGTCTGCGGCAGGAGGCGGTCTCGAAGGTATCCGGGTCCGATGCCATGGAGCGCTTTAAAGATGATAGTCAGCACCTTGAAGCGCACCCGGAAGGCCACAGGCAGCCAATGCAGAGATATCTCAAGCAACCTTCTCATCGGCATGGGTTCATTCAAATCCTATCTCCAAACAGCATCCTGGCAAATAATATCTTGGCAAAGAAAAATCTGGCAGGAATAGCCAGGATCCCAGAAGATAGGCTCAAGATACAGATGGGCCAGATATCTAACAAAATGAAATTCAAGGATGAAAAAAGTAAGGTTCTACCTTTAGGCAAGAAAAACCAAATGCACAGGTGTAGTATAGGGGGTACCTTGATCAATAGTAGTAACTGTGAGAGGGACCTCGGAGTCCTAGTGGACAATCACTTAAACATAAGCCAGCAGTGTGTTGCAGCTGCCAAAAAGGCCAACACAGTGCTGGGCTGCATTAACAGAGGAATAGAATCAAGATCACGTGAAATGTTAATACCACTTTACAATGCCTTAGTAACGCCACACTTGGAATACGGCATCCAGTTTTGGTCACCACGATGTAAAAAAGATGTTGAGACTCTGGAAATACTGCAGAGAAGAGCAACAAAGATGATTAGGGGACTGGAGGCTAAAACATATAAGGAACAGTTGCAGGAATTGGGTTTGTTTAGTGACTAGTCTAATGAAGAGAAGGACGAGGGGGGACATGATAGCAGTATTCCAGTATATCAGGGGCTGCCCCAAAGAAGAGGGAGTCAAGCTATTCTCCAAAGCTCCTGAAGGCAGGACAAGAATCAATGGATGGAAATAAATCAAGGAAAGAAGCAACCTAGAACTAAGGAGGAATTTCCTGACAGAGAACAATCGGAACAACCTGCCTTCAGAAGTTGTGGATGCTCCAACACTGGAAGTGTCTGAAATGGTATAGGGTTTCCTGCCTGAGCAGGGGGTTGGACTAGATGACCTCCAAGGTCCCTTCCAACTCTGCTACTCTGTTCTGTTCAATAAACCAAAGTCATCCGTACCACCCAATCTTGAAGGATCTACACAAAGTTATTTTCCTTCTGGATTTGGGCAACTTTGGCAAACTCTCAATGCCCAGAAGATGCAGATTATTCTCTGAAGACAAGGGAAGATTGCCAAATAGGCAGAGAAGTATATGAGCAGAGAGATACGTGCGGATTGCTTACAACTTTGGTTCACTTAACATGTCCATTCTTGGTGTATTCAATCAATGTCATCAAATGGATTCTCCTGACATCCAGTTGAGAGTTTTGTTTTGTTAGGAGACAAACACTGGAGTTGGCTCCTGTGTCAGAAATGGCACTGTTCCTCGCTTTCTGAAAATAACTCTCATCCTTATTTCGTCTTTGAGGGTTTCTCAAGTGCTTTGAGAGTTTCCAAAGTGTAGATCAATCTTCCTCTCCCGGCTGAGGACCACACGTGGCCTGGCCTAACGAACAAGGGATTGTGTTTCTAATTCTGGGTGGACTGGAACACAATCACAACTGGATTATCTGTAAATTTGAAAGTAGAAGGGATGCTGACGCGTTAAATTAGTTCGTTTACACCAATTTAAATCAATATATTTCTGTGCTGCATATCTAATTGCTTTCTTCTGCTACTTCCTTTGAACGTTGTAATTCAGTCGTACGACACTGAAGGATGGGAGAAGACCTAAATAACTGGGAAGGACGCATATTGCATTCCAACTGCCCATAATTATTTATAAGTAGTCCTCGGCTTACGGCCGCAATTGAGCCCAAAATTTCCATCGCTAAGCGAGACAGCTGTTGAGTGAGTTTTGCCCCATTTTATGACCGTTCTTGCCACTGTTGTTAAGTGAGTCCCTGCAGTTGTTAAACTAGTCGCACGGTTGTGAAGTGAATCTGGCTTCCCCATTGAGTTTGCTTGCGAGAAGGTCACAAAAGGGGATCACGTGATCCCGGAACACTGCAACCGTCATAAATACAAGTCAGTTGCCAAGCATTTGAATTTTGATCACAAGACCATGGGGATGCTGCAAGTAAGTGTGAAAAATGGTCATAAGTCATTTTATTTAGTGTTCTTGCAACTTCGAACAGTCACTAAATGAATGGCTGTAGATCAAGGTCTAGCTGTAGCTAGGCCACCCGTGATTCTTTGCATCCCAGATGCAAAGAGATGGAATCCTAGAAAGTGTGCAGAGAAGAGCAATGAAGTTCATGTGGATGGAGGATTATAGGATGAACGTTTGACGGACCTAGGTATGTCTGGCTCAGGGGTAGGCAACCTTGGCTCTTTTATGACTCGTGGACTTCAACTCCCAGAATTCCTGAGCCAGCATGGCTCAGCTTGGAAACCTCTCCATTTCCCCTCAGCACGGCTGGCTCAGGAATTCTGGGAATTGAAGTCCACGAGTCATAAAAGAGCCAAGGTGGCCTACCCCTGGTCTAGCCCAGTGGTGGTGAACCTATGGCACGGGTGCCAGAGGTGGCACTCGGAGCCCTCTCTGTGGGCACATGTGCCATTGCCCCAGCCTTGCCTCCACCCGCAACCTCCTCCTCTCCAGCAGCCCCCCTGGAGGAGTCGCCCCTGAGCGTGGCCCACACGGAGCAGCGGAGCCAAGGACATGGCAGCCAGGCAGCATAGACAAGACTCAGCCCTCACGCCCCATCGCACAGTTGATGCTGTGGGGTGCGGGCAGAGGGCATGACCACCATGGCGCTGCTGGGCTGCCTGGGCGATCTGCGGCGGGCCCTGGAGGCGGTGAGTGGCCCTGTGAGCAAGCGGGGTGGGGGCGAGGCAGGGGGTGGAGTGGGGGGCGGAAGTTATTGGGCACTCAGTCTCTAAAAGGTTCTCCATCACTGGTCTAGCCCATTGGAGAGAAGGATGAGGGGTGACATGATAGAAGTCTTCCAGTATCTCAGGGGCTGCCCCAAAGAAGAGGGAGTCAAGCTATTCTCCAAAGCGCCTGAAGGCAGGACAAGAAGCAACAGATGGAAACTAACCAAAGAGAGAAGCAACCTGGAACTAAGGAGAAACTTCCTGACAGTTAGAACAATTAACCAGTGGAACAACCTGCCTCCAGAAGTGGTGAATGCTCCAACACTGGAAGTTTTTAAGAAGAGACTGGACAGCCATTTTACTGGGATGATATAAGGTTTCCCACAACAGAACAGAAGAATAGAATAGAATAGAATAGAATAGAATAGAATAGAATAGAATAGAATAGAATAGAATAGAATAGAATAGAATAACAGAGTTGGAAGGGACCTTGGAGGTCTTCTAGTCCAACCCTCTACTTAGGCAGAAAACCTTATATCATCCCGGTCAAATGGTTGTCCAGTCTCTTCTTAAATACTTCCAGTGTTGGAGCATTCAAAACCTCTGGAGGCAGGTTGTTCCATGAGCAGGAGGTTGGACTAGAGGACCTCCAAGGTCCCTTCTAGCCCTAGGATTCTACGTTCTCTGGTCTTTTCATCCCATACCGTGGAGTAGGTGCAGTAATCGCTCCCTTCACTCTCCAGGAGAACCGCATCCTTGATGAAGATGGAAATGGCCTTCAAGATGAAGGTGATGAAAAGGTGGACATGGATGTAGTTCCTGGGGCAACGGAGTCTCCTGCAGGGAGAGAGAGCAGACACAAGGTTAATGTGGGACAATAGACCAATCATCAGGAGACAATGAGTACTGGTCCTGCCTTAAACACAAAAGCCGGCTGGGTGACTTTGGGCCAATCAAGACGAGACAATGAGTTCTAGTTCCGCCTTACGCATGAAAGCCAGCTGGGTGACTTTGGGACAATCACCAGGCGATGGGGGAGTTCTAGTCCCGCCTTAGGCATAAAAGCCAGCTGGGTGACTTTGGGCCAATCAAGATGAGATGGTGAGTTCTAGTTCTACCTTACGCATGAAAGCCAGCTGGGTGACTTTGGGCCAATCACCAGGAGACAGGGAGTTCTAGTCCCGCCTTAGGCATAAAAGCCAGCTGGGTGACTTTGGGCCAATCAAGATGAGACAATGAGTTCTAGTTCTGCCTTACGCATAAAAGCCAGTTGGATGACTTTTGGCCAATCAAGACAAGACAATGAGTTCTAGTCCTGCTTTACGTATGAGAGCCAGCTGGGTGACTTTGGGACAATCACCAGGCATTGGGGGAGTTCTTTGGGCCAATCAAGATGAGACAATGAGTTCTAGTTCTGCCTTACGCATAAAAGCCAGTTGGATGACTTTTGGCCAATCAAGACGAGACAATGAGTTCTAGTCCCGCCTTACGCATGAAAGCCAGCTGGGTGACTTTGGGCCAATCACCAGGAGACAGGGAGTTCTAGTCCCGCCTTAGGCATAAAAGCCAGCTGGGTGACTTTGGGCCAATCAAGACGAGACAATGAGTTCTAGTCCCGCCTTACGCATGAAAGCCAGCTGGGTGACTTTGGGCCAGTCATTCTCTCTCCACACAGCCCACCTCACAGGGTTGTGGTTCTGGGGAAAATAGGAGAAGGAAAGCGTATAACTATGTTCACTGCCTTGTCTTATTTGTAAAATGAATAAAGGCTGGGGGGGGAAAATCTAATAATAATAATAATAATAACAATAACGAGTGGGATGAAAATGTTGTTCTATTTCCCAGGCTCCTGTAGACCTACCTGAATGCAAGTAGAATCAGGATGGCGACGGTAAGCGAGATAGCTGAGATGCTGTAACCCACGGTGTAGATGGTCTGGATGGTTGAAAAGAAGGAAAGCTGGAATGAAAAGCAAACCAACCCTTCAGCTGAGCTTTTGAAACAGGTCCCGGATTCTACTCTGCAACGACGATCAAGGAATATTCCTTCAATCCCTCCCCTGCCTGTTTCATGACTTGGCCTACCTCAAAGGGCTGTCCCAGTCTCCCTGCCCCCCCCCTATGCCAAATAAAATAAAGACAGGGTTGTGTTGAGTTTCTTTTTCACAATTTTATCTTTCTCCAGGCTGTGTGTGTCCTCCAAACCCCTTCTTAACGCCTCATCCAGGCCTTCCTAATTGCTCAAGGTTAGCTCTATTTTCTTTAAACTGGTGGAATGAGAGCCAGAGAGAAAGCAAGCTAGCCAGAAGACGGCCACACCATAAAGGACAGGATAATCTAGGGGTCCCAACCCCCCGGCTGTGGTATCGGGCCATGCAAGCGGTGGGTGAGTACTTGCAGCTCCATTTTTGTGAGCGACGAATGCACACACCTGACATAAATGGAGCTGCTTGTGTGAGCTCGGGTGCACAACATCCCCTCTAACACCCCCCCCCCCCACTGGTCTGCAAAGCCAAAAAGGTCGAAGACCCCTGGGATAATCCCATACTTTTCACATCTGTATCTCCCATGACTCTGCCTTTGAATTGTGGGAAGAATCCAGAGAAAGAAATATTTTGGGAAATATTAAAAAAGGCAGAATATAATCCCCAAAGGATTTTAAAGGCAGAAACCAACCAACCCCCCCCCCCCCCACATACACACAAGTCTCTCTGCCCCAAACAGAAACCAGGTCTGCAGAAATGCAGATGTGATAATCTTGTCAGAAAGATTGGAGTCAGGAAGCTGGGATTAGGAAGAAAGATCCCTAGAATCAACAATCCCTCACACCAAAAAAATCCAACACTCATTCAGCCACAGCCCCAGGGAAGCAGGATATGACCTTTGGGACATAATAGGATTCACCCACCACCATCAGAATACTAGAAAGGCACACTCAGACTCAGGTCAAAGTTCATGCCACAGGAACCACTCCAAACAAAAGCCCAAGAAGGTATAAAATGTTTTTTTTTTCTTCAGAGCATCTTTCTGTCTGGCTCTCCTCTCCAATAAACTGCAACCTTCTTTCTAAAGCAGTCTCCATTTTGTTTATTCCCAGCTTGGACTGGACTCTGATGAAGATTTTTTCCTTCAACAGAAGTTACACACAGCATGAGTGTCAAAGCCCCACATAGCATGAGTGTTAAAGCTCTTTCACACCTTATCCGAAACTGGAGTCACAATGACAAACAAATTTGGAAACCAAGTGGTGCTAGTCCATTAGGTAAACAAAATGGGCATGGAAAGAAATCCAGATTGGTTGTTTCCTGCTGCAGAATCATATCAGTGCTACCCTCAGTTTTAGTTAGCTGAAGCACAGAGATACCAAGTAAACTTTGTTTTGTGTGGGGTCCTTGGCGCTCTCTGAGCTTGGTAGTTTTCTTGCAGATGTTTCATGACCCATCCAGGGAGCTTTATCAGTTCAAGGGAATGGAGTTTGCAGCAAGGAGGATGTTACCTAGTTGGATCATGAAACATCTGCAAGAAAACAACCAAGCTCAGAGAGCACCAAGGACCCCACAGTCCTCCTCCTCCTCCCTTCTAGCACTGATAATGTTCTCTAGTTGTGTCATGAAACACCTGCAAGAAGACCACCAAGTTCAGAGAGCATCAAGGACCCCACAGTCCTCCTCCTCCTCCTCCTCCTCCTCCTCCTCCTCCTCTTCTTCTTCTTCTTCTTCTTCTTCTTCTTCTTCTTCTTCTTCTTCTTCTTCTTCTTCTTCTTCGTCTTCTTCTTCTTCTTCTTCTCCTCCTTCTCCTTCTCCTCCTTCTCCTTCTCCTTCTCTTCCTCCTCCTCCTCCTCTCTGCCAACCCCCCTCCCTTCTTTCACTGATAACGTTACCTAATTGGGTCATGAAACATCTACAGGCAAACAACCAAGCTGAGAGAGCACCAAGGACCCCATAGTCCTCCTCCTCCTCCTCCTCCTCCTCCCTTCTAGCACTGATAATGTTCCCTAGTTGTGTCATGAAATGCCTGCAAGAAGACCACCAAGCTCAGAGAGCACCAAGGACCCCACAGTCATCGTCGTCATCGTCCTCCTCCTCCTCCTCCTCCTCCTCCTTCTCCTCCTCCTCTCTGCCAACCCCCCTCCCTTCTTCCACTGATGACGTTACCTAATTGGGTCACGAAACATCTACAGGCAAACAACCAAGCTCAGACAGCACCAACAGACCGCACACTTCAATCCTGAGCTATAACTATCCCCTGCTCTCAGTGGCCGGTATGCAGATGTTGTTTATCTCAGTTTATCCTTATCTCATGATAGCCTACTTCGCTGGTCTCCCTCTTCAGTCCATTAACAGCTTGAAGGTGGGGGCACTAGAATATATGCCAGCGTCACCCAATTCATGAGCGAAGGACGTGGAAAAAATGAGCATTGAGATGGTTGCCTGGTTGTGCCCAATGATTAAAGGAAGGCAGGGCCAATCTGTGGTCTGTGGAGAGACTCTTCACTCAAACTTCCATCAAGGTCAAGCATCACTTGAAAGATTGCTAAGTCCCGCTGTTCGCCATTCAAAAGCGAGGATGGACAACGGGGGTTAATGCCGCGTCTCTCTGCCACTTATCATGAAATAAATACGAGTCGGTCACCCCACAGAGGGTGATGTTCTGTTCGCGTTTGAAATTCTATTTTGCTACTATGAATTGAGAACTTCACCAGCATCCTGTCTCCTCTGAAAAAGACACCAATTATTTTTACCCAGTCTGAAAGAAAGAAAAAAAAAACCCCAAAAGGCAGCAGAATGTCTCCGCTTGATGCTAAAATACAGGTAGTCCTTGACTTAGGAGCACAACGGAGCCCCAGATTTTTGCTGCTAAGCGAGGCAGCTATTAAGGGAGTCGTAGCCCCGTTTCATGACATTTTTGCCACTGTTGTTGGCGGTCATTAAATGAGTCTGCCTTCCTTCATTGATTTTGCACGTGACAAGCCCGCTGGGAAAGTTACAAATGATGATCATGTGATGCTCAACTTACAACCACAACAGAGCCCCAAATTTTTGTTGCTCAATGAGACACCTCTTAAGTGAGTCTTGCCCCATTTTACGACCTTTCTTGCCACAGTCCTTAAGTGAATCCCTGCAGTTGTGAAGTTACTGACACAGTTGTTAAGTGAATCCGGCTTCCCCATTGACTTTGCTTGTCAGAAGGTCGCAAAAGGCGATCCTGTGACCCCAGGACCGTCATAAATAGGAGTCAGTTGCCATGAATTTTGATCATGTGACCATAGGGACGTTGCAATAGTCGTTAAGTGTGAAAACCAGTCATAAGTCACTATTTTCACTGCTATTGTAACTTTGAATGGTTGCTAAACCTGTGAAAGTTTGTAAGTCAAGGACTATCTGTAAATTGCAGAGGAGAATACAGGGGGGTGGGAGTTCACCATGATTCACATTTATGCTCTAGTTATTTAGGATTAGGTAGATTTAGGATTAGATAGAGAGATATAGAGATATAGAGATATAGATAGATGATGGAGGCAGAGATAGATAGAGATATAGATTATAGATAGATATATGGAGAGAGAGAGAGAGAGAGAGAGAGAGAGAGAGAGAGAGAGAGAGAGAGAGAGAGAGAGANGCCACAGAAGTGGGCTGGCAACGGCCACGGGGCTCCTGTTAGATGGGGCTGTTGGTGTTGCTGCCACGAGGTGAGACAGTGGAAAAACTAAGACATCCCATGAAAATAAAACCTAATGCCCCTTTTGGAGGCAAAAAAAATATATCAGACCAGGTCTTAATTTCAGGGAAACATGGTAGGTAGGTAGGTAGGTAGGTAGGTAGATAGATAGATAGATAGATAGATAGATAGATAGATAGATAGATAGATAGATAGATAGATAGATAGATAGATAGATAGATAGATAGATAGATAGATAGACAGATAGACAGATAGACAGACAGACAGACAGACAGACAGACAGACAGACAGACAGACAGACAGACAGACAGACAGACAGAAGGATGGATGGATGGATGGATGGATGGATGGATGGATGGATGGATGGATGGATGGATGGATGGATGATGGATAGACAGACAGACAGACGGACGGACGGACGGACGGACGGATGGATGGATAGACAGACAGGTAGATAGAGAGATAGGTAGGTGGGTGGGTAGAGAGGTAGAGAGGTAGGGAGAGAGAGAGAGAGAGAGAGAGAGAGAGAGAGAGAGAGAGAGAGAGAGAGAGAGAGAGATGGTAGATAGACAGATAGGTAGATAGATAGAAATAGATAGGGGGGGTGAGAGAGAAAGAGGGAAAGAGGGAAAGAGAGAGATGAGTAGATGGATGGTAGAAGGACAGAGACCACATTCATGAAGCAGAATTCCTGGTTGTTTCTCTTATAGTTTAGCCTGTTAAGAGGTATCAAACTTTCTCCCTATGCCTGTGGGGTATCTGTCTTTATCCCCCACTCCCCCAAACTCACTTCATCCAGAGAGACATCATCTTCCATCGAACATGCTACCGAATAAGGTGGAATCGGATCAGACCAGCCTTGATCTGTGCAACTTCGTTTCACCACACCTATGAAAAATTAAAATCAGCAAAATTAGATTGAGCTGGACTGATCCAAGTGATGGGGCCCCGGGGCCAACAACTCAGGGTGTTAGCCCTTTGAGGTAGTCCAGACAAGGAGCAGGACCAGGAGTATCTTAACTGTAAGTATACAGGTAGTCCTCGGCTTACAATAGTTCATTTAGTGACCGTTTGAATTCACAACGGCACTGGAAAAAAAGTGACATAACCATTTTTCACACTTACGACTTTTACAGCATCCCCATGGTCACGTGATCAAAATTTGGATGCTTGGCAACTGGTTCATATTTATGATGGTCGCAGTGTCCTGGGGGGTCACGTGATCCGCTTTTGCGACTTTCTGACAAGCAAAGTCCATTGGGGAGCCCGATTCACTTAACAACCATGTTACTAATGTAACCACTGAAGTAATTCACTTAAGAACTGTGGCAAGAAAGATGGTAAAACTGGGCCCATTGGGTGGGTGTGGCTGCAGTGGTAATGGCAGACTGGGTGGGACTAAAAGGTTCAATCAATCAATTCCAACTTTGCAAGATCTTTTTCTTCCTCTGTGAGAAGTTGAAATTGACTGATTGATTGAATTTTTTTTTTGCGGAGGCCTAAAGCGAAAAGGTTTTATAAAACCCAGCTAAAGGCCTAGGACTGGGGCGACGGCACGCGTGCCCACAGAGAGGACTCTGAGTGCCGACTCTGGCACCCGTGCCATAGGTTCACCACCACTGTCCTAGAGCCTCTCACTATTGTTTTATAATAATTTGGAATCAAAGAGATACTTAATAACCTGGGAATGACTCTGTTATTTTAATTTCTCGACTTGGCAGCCCAAGGCCAGGAAATTTATTTATTAGGCTTCTTTCTAAGTGTCCAGTGTCACTTCTAGGCAGGAAGGGTGCCAAATAAGTCTCTTAAATTAATATATAAAGGATGCTCATTAAATCCCAGTGTGCATAATTGGCAGAATTACACCATTTGTGTAAATGTCTGCCACTGGGGTCAATTTATTTATCTGAGTAATTACGTAATTGATGTCATTTGTTGAAATTCACGTCACTTGCCCAGTGCAAATGACATAAGTGATGCAAATTTACCCAAACAATCTAATTATGTCAATTTTGGCAAGTGACAGCAATTATATTAATTGACCCACTTTAGAAAGAAGAGGTGGTGTCTTTTATGGGGTAATGAAGATCAAATCACAAACGTATCTCTTGAAACCAAAATCCTGTTCCACTGGGGTAAAAATCAAGGTTTTAGTCTAATCGTATCAAGTTTAAATATATATTTAAATATATTACAGAGAAGAGCAACAAAGATGATTAGGGGACTGGAGGCTAAAACATATAAGGAACGGTTGCAGGAATTGGGGATGTCTAGTTTAATGAAGAGAAGGACGAGGGGGGACATGATAGCAGTGCTCCAATATCTCAGGGGCTGCCCCAAAGAAGAGGGAGTCAAGCTATTCTCCAAAGCGCCTGAAGGCAGGACAAGCAGCAATGGATGGAAACTAATCAAGGAGAGAAGCAACCTAGAACTAAGGAGAAACTTCCTGACAGTGAGAACAATTAACCAGTGGAACAACCTGCCTCCAGAAGTGGTGAATGCTCCAACACTGGAAGTTTTTAAGAAGAGACTGGACAGCCATTTGTCTGAAATGGTATAGGATTTCCTGCCTGAGCAGGGGGTTAGACTTGATGACCTCCAAGGTCCCTTCCAACATTATTATGAAGGAAGGAAGGAAGGAAGGAAGGAGGGAGGGAGGGAGGGAGGGAGGGAGGGAGGGAGGGAGGGAGGGAGGGAGGGAGGAAGGAAGGNAGGGAGGGAGGGAAGGAGGGAGGGAGGGAGGGAGGAAGGAAAGAAGGAAGGGAAGGAGGGAGGAAGGGAGGAAGGAAAGGAGGGAGGGAGGAAGGAAGAGAGGGAGGAAGGAAAGAAGGAAGGGAAGGAGGGAGCAAGGGAGGGAGGAAGGGAGGGAGGGAGGGAGGGAGGAAGGAAGGAAGGAAGGAAGGAAGGAAGGAAGGAAGGAAGGAAGGAAGGAAGGTGTTTCTCACCAACAAACTGGTTCCTCACCTGATTTCTTTGTGAAGTGGAAGATGATACCTGGACAGGTGAAGGAAAGCGTGTCTCCAGGATCTGCATCGGGCCAACACAGAAGCCGGTCCCATAATCTTTTACAACCTTGCAAATGGAAGAAAAGATTTAAAAAAAAAAAAAAAAAAAGCTCTCCATTATCCTTGGAAAGAGAAACCCAACAGCAGAGCCCAAAGTATATCAGCGCATTGAATGAACTTTAAGATTGCCCCTTAATGAGTGGGATGCACCCTTCAGGACTGCCAATAGAGTAGGTGTAGTAAACGAAATTTCCAAATTGTATGCAGTAAAATAATACAGTGGGTGGAGGATGAAAATACTGTATATGAAGCTACCCTGGGTCATCGGTGGAGACCGTACTATGATGTTTCATGCTATGAATTTTGAGGTTGATGTTTGCTTTTTTTAGGGGTTCTCAAGTTGTGAAAAGGTCTTCCTTCCTTCCTTCCTTCCTTCCTCTGACTATTTCTTTAAAAACAGGTATAAGACACACAGGGATTGACTGTCCACAGTCTGATCCTAAAACATGGACAAGCCTTAGTAGATATAGTCTTACACCTAATCCAAAGTCTCAACCCTAAGACATGTTTACATCGCAAAATTTAATGGCATAAGACAGGGATGGCGAATCTTTTAGAGACAGAGTGCCCCAAAACCACCCCGCCGCCCCACCCGTTGCTCCGCCTTTGTCACTCTGTCCCGCCTGCTCCACCCTGCCACTTGCTGGGCCACCCACTGCCTCCACGGCCCGCCGCAGATTGCTCAGGCAGCCCTGCAGCACCATGGTGGACACAGCCTCCATCCGCACCCCACAGCATCATCTGTGCGCAACAGGGTGTGAGGGCGGAGTCTTGTCCCTGCTGCCCAGCTGCCATGTGCTTGGCTGCGCTGCTCCATGCCCAGGGGCGACTCTCCTCTGGGGGGGGCTGCTGACGAGGGGATGGCAGGGCTGGGGTGACGGCACACTTGCCCACAGAGAGGGCTCTGAGTGCCGCCTCTGGCACACGTGCCATAGGTTCACCACCACTGGCGTAAGAGAAACCGCCATTCCATATTCCCTGCTTTTCTCATTTCCACCTGATTGTACCTGCGGTTTCGTTCATGTGCAGCTGAATCTCTTGTAAGCACTCGGTCTCGTTCTGTTTCCACTCTGTGATGGGGACACAGTCGGGCTGAAGCATTCCAGCAACCTAGAAGTAAATGAACAGGATGAAAGGAAAAAAGCTGACATTCCTAGCCTTATCCTAAAATTCAATGCCGGCAGGGGAAAGAATAAAAGCAACTCAAACCATCGCAGGTAGTCGCTGCCTTGCAACCCAAACTTTTTGTTGCTAAGCGAGACAGTTATTAAGTGAATTTTGCCCCATTTGACGACCTTTCTTGCCATAGTTGTTAACTGAATCACTGCCGTTGTGAAGTTAGTAATATGGTTGTTAAGTGTAATCTGGCTTCCCCAGTGACTTTGTGTCAGAGATGAAACTTTGATAGCTAGATCCCTCTGCATTTCATCTTGCTTTTAGATGAATGGGAGGGGGCAGGGAGTTACTTTCAAGTGGGTTAAAGGGAGAAATTAAAACTCTTTGATTCATCTGCAGACCATGAGAGCTTGAAGCCTTGTCAAGGTCACCCTAACAGGTGTGGATTTGAAGCAGACGGTTCCCATAACAAAGTGAGCTTGTTGATCTGAATTACGTAACATGGGGGGGGGTGTTGGCTGGGAGAATTATTAAGTCTGTGGATTGGTGTTGGAACCTCAGAGTTAGTTTTTCTTCGACATAACCAAGTGGTGTATTCAATAAACAGCAAGCTTTTCGGAAATGAAATGAACCTGGAGGGTTTTTTTTATTCTTGAGATGGATGTTGAGACTTTGCTTGACAGAAGGTCGCAAAAGGGGATCACAGGATCTCGGGACACCGCAACTGTCATAAATATGAACCAGTTGCCAAGCTTCTAAATTTGGATCACGTGATCATGGGGATGCTCAATGGTTGTAAGTGTGAAAAACGACCATAAAACACTTTTTTCAGTGCCGTTGTAGCTTTGAACGGTCACTAAATGAACTATTGTAACTTGAGGACTACCTGTATACATTTTACCCATGAGCCCCTGGTCCAAGGATATTTCCTTTCTGCTGGAATATAAATTATCAAGAACTGGAGTGTATTTGAAATTCCGCAAATTCAGAGAAGAAGAACAAGGGTGATTTGGAAAATTGGCGTAAGAAGAGAAATGGCAAAATCTCTGTGGGTTTCTCCTAACGAAAAAAAATATTCGGCAATTCTATTTGTAAACAATATTTAGACTTTAGCACTCCAAAAAAAAAGGAAGAAAGAAAACCCCCCAAAATCCAGTTACAGGTAGTCCTCAAATTACAACCAAATGGGGAGCAGAATTTCCATTGCTAAATAAGGCGGTTGTTAAATGAGTCACACCAATGTTATGAACTTTTTTGCCAAGGTTGTTAAGTGAATTATTACAGTTGTTAAGTGAATCATGTGGTCATTAAGTGAATCCAGCTTCCCCCATTGGCTTTGTTTGTCAGAGGCTGGCTGGGAAAATTACAAATGGTGAAACTTTCATTACTTTTTTGTTATCTTCATATTTCTACTATAAGGAAGGTTAGACTGATGGATGGTGGCTGTTCCTCCATATCATTTTATGAATGTCATTTTATGAACATCATCATGATGTTCCATCAGATCTTTCTTAGTCAGTTGCTTCATGTCTGGAGAACGCATCTGTTCCATCAGATCTTTCTTGGCCAATTGTCCCATGTCTGGAGGACACATCTTATGAACATGATCATGATGTTCCATCAGATCTTTCTTGACCAGTTGTCTCATGTCTAAAGGCCACATCTTATGAACATCATCATGATGTTCTATCAGATCTTTTCTGGTCAGTTGTCTCATGTCTAAAGGGCACACCTTATGAACATCATCATGATGTTCCATCAAATCTTGCTAGATCAGTTGTCCCAGTCTGGAGGACACATCTCATGAACATCATGATGATGCTCCATCAGAATTTCCTTGGTCAGTTGTCCCATGTCTGGAGGACACATCTTATGAACATCATGATGATGTTCCATCAGATCTTACTTGGTCAATTGTCCCATACATAGACAACACTAGTGAAGAAAGCCGGTCCCCCAACATAGACATCTGGTAGAAGGTGTTGCAATTCATGCAAAAGACAACATTTGCATCTTTTGCCTACAATTATATCACAATGCCCAAGATGACACTTGTTTCTTTCTTCTCCCCTTAACATTTCAAGACAGACTAATGTACAATATGGCAAAACTGGTAAACACAAACAGGGAAAACGTATTGAAGCATTCTGATTTTTTTTTACCTGTATTATCTGGACAGAGAGCCCCCTCCCCCCACAAAAAAACTAAAATCCAAGCTACATGTTACATCGCTGCAATTTTGGTTTTTTAAAAAAATGTTAATGACAATTTGTGCTTGTCAGAAGTTTCTCCTGTTATTTTTGACTTGTTGAGATGTGCTCAGTGAACAAATCAAACTTCAAGCCCACAACATGAATTGTAAAGGTATCTAATAATATGGAATAACAGAGAGGGAGGGAGGGGGGGAAAGAGAGGGGGGGAGAGAAAGAGGAGGGAGGGAGGGGGAGAGGGAGGGAGGGAGGGAGAGAGAGAGGGGGGGGGGACCACTGGAAAGATCTTCAACAACTTTTTTCCTTTTGGCCCTTAATTTTACTCCCACTGAGGGTGGGAAATATCCTGAATTCTGATTTTCAACATTCTCCCCCCTTCAACCTTCAATTTTGGCCCCACTGGGGGAAAAAAACCAACCCTGAATTCTGATTTTTAACAACTTTTTTTACCCTTCCAGCCTCAATTCTACCCCCCAATGGAGAAATTAAAAAACAAAAAAAAACCCAAATGTTGATTTTCAACAATTTTTCCCTCCTTCGATATTTAACTTTAACCCCACTGGGGGGGGGGGGAAATCCCACAAAAGCTGAATTTTGAACTGTTCTTCCCCTCCAATTTTTCATTCAACCTAAGTAGATAGGAAAGTACAGCTTGTCAAAAGTAATTGCTCCACGTTTTCCTTCTGCATGGTTTTTTTTTTATTATTATTATTTGTGTTTGTTTGTTTATCTTTTACACTTCTGAACCACCCAAATCTCCGTCAAGGAAGGGCTCCTGCTTCATTGATATATTTCAACCATACAGCCTATTTTTAGACAAATGGCATAGGGTTTCCTGCCTGAGCAGGGGGTTGGACTAGATGACCTCCAAGGTCCCTTCCAACTTTATTATTATTATTATTATTATTATTATTATTATTATTATTATTATTATTATTATTATTATTATTATTTAAGAAGCTCTCGTGGAGATTCTCAAGGGGATTGTGCCAGTGTTCACCTATATCTCTGGTACTTTTTGTCAGAAAAAAAAGCTTATACCCCCTACAATATATAATGCCAAATCTAGTGTAAACATCTGGCTGATTGTGCAACCAAACATAATAATAGAGAAATACAGAATAATAGAGTTGGAAGGGACCTTGGAGGTCCTCTAGCCCAACTCCTGCTCAGGCAGGAAACCTTATACCATTTCAGACAAAGGGCTGTTCAATATCTTCTTAAAGGCTTCCAGTGTTGGAGCATTCACCGCTTCTGGAGGCAGGTTGTTCCACTGACTAATTGTTCTAACTGTCAGGAAGTTTCTCCTTAGTTCTAGGTTGCTTCTCTCCTTGGTTAGTTTCCATCCGTTGCTTCTTGTCCTGCCTTCAGGCACTTTGGAGAATAGCTTGACTCCCTCTTCTTTGTGGCAGCCCCTGAGATATTGGAAGGCTGCTATCATGTCCCCCCTCGTCCTTCTCTTCATTAAACTAGACAGACCCAATTCCAGCAGCCGTTCTTCCTATGTTTTAGCCTCCAGTCCTCTAATCCTCTTTGTTGCTCTTCTCTGTACTCTTTCTAGAGTCTCAGCATCTTTTTTACATCGTGGTGACCAAAACTGGATGCAATATTCCAAGTGTGTGTTTTCGTGGTGCATAGTATTTTATTTATCTATTTATTTATCCTTCACATCTCTGAACCACCTGTCTTCTTCAAAGGGGGAGTCTGTTTCGTTGATTTTTCAAATATACAGCCTATTTTTAGACAAATCAGAGGACTGGGCATGTGTTCGTCTATATCTATATTCTTTATCAGAAAGAAAGTTTATACCCCCTATTACAGTATATCCTTCTCCTCCTCCTCCTCCTCTAAATTGACCAGCAAGGCAAATAGTTTCTCTTTTAAGTGCTAAATTAGCAATAAAATTCTAAGCATCCAACCATCTAAATTTACCAAATTCTCACTCCGTGGCAACCTATCCTATTTTCTGCAGTTGGCATTGTTCAAAATATTTCTCACTATGCAGAGTTCCTAGACCATCCAAATTCATCTTTCCTTTTTTCTTCTTCCCCAAAACAGCCTCTCTGAGTCCCCCCCCCCTCAATAATTATACCCACTGAAATATTATGCTCTTACACCTATTTGCAAACAGACCCACGAGGAAAAAAGAAAGGAGAATGAAAGATGCAATTTAAAACTTACCAGAGATGGCAGAATCAGCAGGATTAAAACACAGGAGCATCTTTGCTTTGAAGACTTCATGTCAACACAAAAGAATTTTTGTTCCGCTCTTGCTTGGTCCCTTGCTAATATGAGGAATGGGGTGAGGTTTTTTTGTAACTCAAAGAACGTGAGGGATAAGCAGGGTGTGAGGTCTTACTCACAACTCCCTAACCTGCAGCTGACTGGCTGTCCACCTGCAGTTGTGTTAAACACTCTGCTGTGACTTGCAAAGAGAGTGGGTGGTTTCCTCTAAAACTGCATGAATAAACTATCAGGGGATGACAAACAAACCTGGTTGAGTTAACAGGTGTCATCTGAAGCTAGGCAACTTTCCCAAGCACACACAGAACAGAGACTGCTTGATCAGCAGACCTTTAAAAAACACACACACACACATACACACACACAGCAAACTGAGCTGGGGACGAACTGGTGTGGCTTATCCGCAAACATTACTTTCCTGATGGAACTTCAGTGGGGTTTTACTTTTATAATTAGATGTAGAATCAGAGGCTGGAAGGGGCCTTAGAGGTCTTCCAGTCCAACCCCTTGGCTAAGGCAGGAGACCTTATACTTTCAACCTGAGTATTTCTTCCTCTTTTTTTCCTACTAATACAGTTATTAGATTTTTAAATAAGAAAGGTCAAAATTAACAGAAACTAATATTTAAGGAAGGAAAAAGGAGGGAGGGAGGGAGGAAGGAAGGAAGGAAGGAAGGAAGGAAGGAGGGAAGGAAGGAGGGAGGGAAGGAGGGAGGGAGGGAGGGAGGGAGAAAGAAAGAAAGAAAGAAAGAAAGAAAGAAAGAAAGAAAGAAANGGAAGAAAGAAGGAAAGAAAAAGGAGGAAGGGAGGAAGGAAACAAGGAAAAGAAAAGAGAAAGAAAAGGGAAAGAAAAGGGAGGAAGGGAGGAAGGAGGGAGGGAGGGAGGGAGGGAAGAAGGAAGGAAAAAGGAGGAAGGGAGCGAGGAAACAAGGAAAAGAAAAGAGAAAGAAAAGGGGGAGGGAGGAAGAAGGAAGGAAGGAGAGAGGAAGGAAGGAAAAGGAAAAGAAAAAGGAGGGAGGGAGGGACGGAAGGAAGGAAGGAAGGAAGGAAAGGAGGGAGGGAGGGAAGTGCAGAAAAAAGAAAACAAAAGGTTGAATTGAAATATTCTTTTAAAACAACTATACATATAAATTAAACTCTTACTCTATGATTACAACATAACTCATTTTTTTCCTCTCACCTGCATCTCTGCATTTTCACACAAAAAAGTACAAAAGAGATTTCCAGTCAGTATTAAACTTAAATAGGCTGTCAGTTTAGCTATCTCTATCATCTTCACCATCCATTCTTTCATGGTGCATAATATTTCTAGAGTTCTGAGTCTCACTGCACAATCTGAGCGTTTTGTAGGAAGGTCTCTATCCCTGGTTTCTGGAGAGACACCCAAAGGGGCCCTTTTGCCATTGGAGATCTTTCTTTCACCAGCAAATGCTGAGTTCATGGTCACCACGATGTAAAAAAGAAGTTGAGATTCTAGAAAGAGTGCAGAGAAGAGCAACAAAGATGATTAGGGGACTGGAGGCTAAAACATATCAGGAACGGTTGCTGGAATTGGGTATGTCTAGTTTAACAAAGAGAAGGACGAGGGGGGACAGGATAGCAGTCTTCCAATATCTCAGGGGCTGCCACAAAGAAGAGGGAGTCAAGCTATCCTCCAAAGCGCCTGAAGGCAGGAGAAGAAGCAACGGATGGAAACTAATCAAGGAGAGAAGCAACCTAGAACTAAGGAGAAATTTCCTGACAGTCAGAACAATTAACCAGTGGAACAACCTGCCTCCAGAAGTGGTGGATGCCCCAACACTGGAAGTTTTTAAGAAGAGACTGGACAGCCATTTGTCCAAAATGGTATAGGGTTTCCTGCCTGAGCAGGGAGTTGGACTACATGACCTCCAAGGTCCCTTCCAACTTTATTATTATTATTATTATTATTATTGTTGTTGTTGTTGTTGTTGTTGTTGTTGTTGTTGTTGCTGTTGTTGTTGTTGTTATTAGTTCTAGCCAGCTAGATGACTTTGGGTCAATCACCAGGAGACAATGAGTTCTAGTCCCGCCTTAGGCATGAAAGCTGGCTGAGTAACTTTGGGCCAATCACCACCAGACTGTGGGTTCTAGTCCCACTTTAGGCACGAAAGTCAGTGAATCACCTGGTCATTAAGTGAATGGGAATCCCTTCATTGTTGTCAGAAACTGGCTGGGAAGGCTGCAAATGGCAATCACGTGATCCCAGGATGCTACAACTGTCACAAATTCATGTCAGTTGCCAAGTACTTGAATTTTGTTCCTATGACCATGGGGATGCAGCCATGCTCATAAAAGTGTGAAGCCTGGTAATTTGTTCATTACTTCAGACAGCCACTAAATGAATTGTTGTAAGTTGAGAACTAAAAGAATCAAGAGGTTGCTTGTGTTGCGAATGGTGGCCAACTGGAACACAACCCCTCTCTCAAAATCTGCAGTGTACTTGACTTACGCTCATTCCCCAGCAGCACAAAATCAGATTATTTCATCTAATAGATAGTGGTTCAATCTAGGATTTCCCCCCCAAGAAAATATCTTATTCTATCCTTGAAAAACTGCAAAGCTCTTCATAAGCGGACCAACCAAATCCTGATAGCTCAACTGGCTGAAGCAATAACACAGGTAGTCCTTGACTTATGACCACAACTGAGCCTAAAGTTTCAGTTGTTAAGCCAGACAATTGTTAAGTGAGTTTCGCCCCATTTTACCACCTTTCCTGCCACAGTTGTTAAGTGAATCACTGCACTTGTTAAGTTAGTCATACGGTTGTTAAGTGAATCTGGCTTCACCATTGACTTTGCTTGTCAGAAGGCCACATGACCTTGGGATACAGCAACGGTCATAAATATGAGTCACTTGCTAAGTGTCACTTGAATTTTATCATGTGACTGCTGAGATGCTGCCACAGTCATCAGTGTGAAAAAGTATGAAAAAAGGTCCCTTTTTTCTGTGCCACTGTAATTTCATATGAGACAGACAGACAGATAGAGACAAAGAGAGACAAAGACAGGCAAATAGACAAATAAACAGAGACAGAGAAATAGAAAGATAGAGAGAGAGAGAGAGACAACAGACAGATAAACAGACAGATAAAAAGAGAGAGAGAGAGAGAGAGAGGAAGAGAGAAAGAGAGAAAGAGAGACAGAGTCAGGCAAATAGACAGATAAACAGAGACAGAGAAACGGAAAGATAGATAGATAGATAGATAGATAGATAGATAGAGAGAGAGAGAGAGAGAGAGAGAGAGAGAGAGAGAGAGAGAGAGAGAGAGAGAGAGAGAGAGAGAGA